TCTTCACTGGCCAAATCTGGGACAGTTTGAACACCAAGACAGAATCGTGATAACATGATGAAACGTAGAAAAATACGGTATGATAAAAAAGAAAACCAGACCTTGAAAACATGATAATCCTACATGAATCCAGATAGAGTATAMGGATGTATACCTTCCTGGGATCTCTCTGTAGATAGGAAATTTTTCAAATGAAAAAAATTTGGGAAGGAAAGAAAAAACAGTTCTTTCTTGTGATAATAAAATATCTCCAGCTCCTGGGTGTTTTGAGATCACTCAACCCACCTTTGCTGGGTGAGAAGATGTGRATAGTCTTCTGCTGGGCTCTGGCCTCAGGAACTCTGCCCATTTCCTTGAATAATACAAGCTGCCCCGGGGTTACCAATGGGCCCAGGAAATGGAATTGACCAAATTATGTTGTGTGCCTTTATGACTATGTCACATCATATCCCACTGCTATGTATAATTAAAACGCACCAATTAAAAAATATTTTTTAAAATCAAACAAAAATAAATCTTCCTCCTKCAGGATAAAGGGAGGCCTGAAAAGATTGCTTGGGCGCCATCTACTGGTCAAATGCTTGTACTGCCATGTGATCCTCGTTGTGACTGAGCCACGAGTCACCCAGGTGCTCAGTTGTCTTTAACACAGAAGGCACCACAATGCCCAGCTCCAGGAAGACATTCAACAAATAGTGAAATGAATAACATCTTCCTATGAATTCTCATACTTAGGCAGTGCCCGTAAGAACCTCATAACCTTATCACACTGATATCTTCTTGGGGTCAACCTTCTTGGGTTTCCATGGATGGATTATATATTCCTTAAGAGCTCATCATATTACTTGGTGACCATCCCAGTGCTTCAGAGGAAATGTYCCAGAAGCATTGTGACTGTGGCTTTTTATCTCCCATCTCTACCTTATTTGCTTTTTTAAATTTTTTTTAAGATATGGATCTTTATTTCATTCATTTATTTATATGTGGTGCTGAGAATCGAACCCAGCGCCTCGCACATGCTGGGCAAGCGCTCTACCACTGAGCCATGACCCCAGTCCCTTATTTTAAAAGTTTTAAAAAACGATTGTAAAACTTATTTAAAAGCTGTCTCTACCCTTGGCCTCCATTTCCTCCCCTTCCCAAGTCGCTCCTGGTAAGGTCCCCAGTCACCTGCCAGCTCTCAAATACAAAAACCTCTTTCCTATCCATGTCCTGCTCTCYTTCTGTCTTATTTGGAAACACGGCTCCCTCTTGCTTCTCCCACCTTTCTGGCTGTTCTTTCTCGCCTCTTCTTATCTCCCTGCCGTTGGTCTCTCTTTCCTCTGTCAATGGCTCTCTGCTGTCTGAGGCTCCAGGCTCCCTGGGGGATCTCAGCTAACTCCCATGAGTGTGTCTTCACCCTCCACGGTTCTCTTAAGCTCCAGGAACCTGTTTCTAAATGCCTGTGGKGTCTCTTACAGATGCTCAGATTCCCACCGATCTCAAGTGGGACTCCCCTTCTCTCCCCCACACACCTCTTCTCCTCTATTACCCACTCAAAAGCACCCACTTCTACAGAGTTGCTCAGACTAGGAAACTCATGACCCATCGAGGTGCCCCACTCCTCTCTCAGTGTGTCAGTGAGTCCTGTTACTTCTTCCTTTAAGCTTCTCTCACATCTTGACCCCCCCAACACCCCATGTGCAGAACCACTGAAATAGCACTGCGAATCACCACCTTTGACATGCTCTTGACTCCACCCCATGAACCCACCATGTGTTCCAATGTCACTTCCAGGTCAAACCATTCAATGCATACCACATGCCATCCTCACAATGAGCTCCGAGGTCTGCGTCCAGCATCCTATGCCCTTTGCATCTGGTCTCACCTACCTTTCCAGTCTCACTTCCCACCACTCCCTCATACTGCCACACAGATCTAGGCACACCTGACGTCACACGCTTCCCTGAAGACTCATTTCCACACCATGACCATCCTGCTCCCTCTCTCTGAAGTGTTGTCCCTCCTGCCAGCCCCTGGGCAAAGGCATAGCCCAGAGCTTTCCCCACCCCTCACTGTGTGTGGTTAATTGTTCTCTTATTTTTTCAGAGCCCTTAATTCAAGCCTCCTTCACACCTCTTCCTAGRCTTCCAACTGCACCTGACCAACATCTAAATTCTTTACCTAACTTTTGTCCCTACAAGGCCATGCATGATTGGACCCCTGCTGATCCCCTCAGCTCCTTCCCATCCTCCTACCCCATCCATGCACAAAGACAAAGAGCAGTCTTCTATGGGATCCAAAGCAAGGAAAATCCTGAAGTTCTTATAGACTCCAAAGATCAACAGAAAATCAAAAGCCATGCACTATAACTCTTTCTTAAACTCCTTTTGAAAGTATTTTTATTTTGGACCTCCATTAACTCAATAACTAAGGAGCATATGGAAAATAATGATAAGTACATTGTATTCATGGAGTTTTTCCTATTGCTAGGAAGACAACTAATGCTTCACATGTATCTGTCTCATTGAATCCTTCAACCAGCCCTATTATTTCCCATTTTTAGAGAGGATATTGCTATTAGCAAGGTTAAATGACTTGCCAAGGTCACTTAGTATAGGCAAGGCTAATACTTAAGCCCAGGTCTGTGTCATTCAGATCTTGGGTTCTGATGGATGTTCTACATACACACCCAGAGCAGCTGGCAGAGGAAGACCAGGGTTAAATCTTACAGCTAACCTACCTGGAAGATAGTCTACCAACTCCAAAATCAAGTTTCCTAAAACCACCTAAAATGGCTTCTAAATTTTAAACCTGCACCTGAGATTAATTAGCACTTTGGTTTGGGTTTTTTTTTGTTGTTGTTGTTGTTGTTGTTTGTTTGTTTTGTTTTGTTTTGTTTTTTTCAGAATTTCACTTTTCTAAATTAATTTTTATGTTTTTATTTCTGCACTATAATTATGCAAAATAGTGGGGTTCATTGTGACATTCACATATGGTAGTCCTTAGCCTCCCTTGGAAGTCTCAATTCTGCTGTACAGACTGAGAGACCAGCACTTCAAAAGTTACCCATATTCTGGAATTCCCAAATTCACCCTGACATTCTGACCGAGCCCTTTTCTTCTGACTGTGATTGAATTTTTCAACCTTTGCCCTAGACACTTGAAACACATAGTATTCTACTATAGGTGGGATCGGGCAAAGAATATCAATCCCACTCCAACCAGCATCTCTATAAATTGGCAATATAAGTCCTGGAAGTAAAACTAGTCAAAAGGTAAGACCATCCTAACTGCTTCTGATTCAAATAGGTAGCACAAAAAAACAGGCTCAATGAAAGCAATGTGCACATTGTTCCAGATTCAGACTCTTAGAGGGACGTTCAACTAAGAGCACCACAGAGGGAATTTTAGACAGAGAGAGAGGCTAGATTTCCAATCTATTTTCAAAGAATCATTGAAACTCGGAGGGAACTCTAATAAATATTAAGTAATTCTTTGAGATAAAGTCGCTTCCAGAAAGAATCCTTTTCTTAGGACAAATATTATACTGGCAATTTGTTGGTATATTCCAGGAATTTAGCCTGGGATTCAAAAAATTTACCTTYCCTCAGTCTATACTCAAAGGRCTTAAAAACATCATACTACAGGGACACAGCCACATCAATGTTTATAGCAGCACAATTCACAATAGCTAAACTGTGGAACCAACCTAGATGCCCTTCAGTAGGTGAATGGATTTTTTAAAAATGTGGCATATATACACAATGGAATATTA